GACAATAAAAAATTACACACACACAAATAATGTAATCACTATTAATTTCCGGTCATTAAATATGTAAAAAGAAAATCAACTTATTTTCCTAAAACACCTTTACTAGTAAGTGGGAGAAGGAATGAATGAATAAAGGAGATAAAAAAGAATGATTGCCAAAAAAAATATATGAGAGATAATATAATTAATTAGAGGTAAAAATAAAAAAATGTATTAACTGATTAGACAAATTCAAAATAATTCTTATAAAAAAAAAATCAAGCCCCTTTAAAAATTTGGTGCTTATATTTTGAATATGAGGAAATTGGTTATTACTTTATTAATTTTATTTTAATGAATTATTATTATTGAATATTAGCTTTATATAGATTGGAACTAGGATCTCCTCCTCCTATGGAGGCTGTTTGTTAAGTGTGCATTATTGTATTTGATTAATTCAAAAGTAATGAAAGAGGTAAAGAGGGAAGGACTACTGTGTGAGCTGCTAAAATGCAAATAATTCTCATTTTATTACAATCTATCACATGACAATACTATGCAACTGTAATGAAGGAAGGTCTCATACTAATAGCGTGAAGACAGTAGTCAGCCTATAATGGTGAGAATGTGGTCACTTTGAATGCACATTCTAGAAGACTTCCCTAAAGACCACATTTTGAGCAATGATTGGCCTTGGCTCTTGTTGATGGTCATCGCGAAGAAGATGATGAACGGGAACTGTCATCTGATCATTTTGAATGGTAGGATGGTCTCTGATGGATTCATGTCCATGCGGTGAACTAGCACCTCATCACCCTTGCTCGTTCCATTTAATGTGACTGCCCTGATGAAGTTCTTGCCCAGAAATGTGATATGCAGCCTTGTTTCATTGCATAGGCCTGTAGACTAGTTGATGTTTCCAAACAACATGATTGGTATTATGATCTTTAAAGAGAGCTTGTGGGGCAGCATCCCAGAACAGTTTATGGTGTTGAGGAATTCTGCGGAGTACAGATCTTGAAATGAGCTGCTGTCCTGATCAGTACTGGAGATGGAGTCAGAGCTGAGATAGTGAACAGAGTCTCCAAGGAGGAATAACAGTATGTAATCATTTATCTAGTCGATGATTTTGGTTGTGGGGGCTAAAATCACCTTTTTTGTGAGGTAGTTTGGATGTGTGATGTTTTGTTAGAGTGCAGGAAATGAGGATGAGACAATGGAGTGGATAAGGTCGAGGGAGTCAGTGATGAGGAAATCATTTGGGATCTCAATATCTATTGTGCCCTCATGGTTAGTCTAATTATATCATCACCAACATCAAGCAACCATTTAGAGAATTCACTGACATTTTTTTGGTCTATTTCCTTTTATGCCAATTGCACAGCATGTTTTTAGTGGGCTTGAATTACTTACATGCTGGCCAAAGAGCATATGAGTTTATAATTGCATTTGTAATGTCTACACAGAATCCCTTCAATATGACAGGTAATATCTGCCAAAAGTCGCCCCCCGTAATGACTCATTTGCCACCAAATGACAAGTCGTATCGCATTATATCCTTCAATGCTCGATCGATAGCCTCCACACAATGTCGTTTTATTATTGGCGCCTCGTCCCAGATGATTAATTTTGCAGACCACGGAAAATGAGTCACGGGAAAACCATAACTAATATTATATGTGGAGCCTTTGTTTATGTCGATGGGGATTGAGAATCTCAAATGAGCAGTCCTTTCTAAGGTCAGTAGAGTCACGGCTATTCCACTTGATGTGATGTTGATGATCAAGTCTCCTTTTTCCCATATAATCGTAGTCAGGGCATTCCAAAGAAAGGTCTTGCTAGTGCCCTTCTAACCATAGACAAAGCAGAATCCACTGGTTGTTCTGCTAACCGTATTGAGGACTTTGTGGAATATCTTTCTGTGCTCATCTGGGAGTGATGCTGCTAACCTTGCTACATCTATGGCACATGCATCCTTGTTGTAGCTAAGTTCCTGGAGTAACAAGTTGTTTGTTGTGTCCAAGAATTTGACAAAGCGTGGTTTTGGCAGCAACATGTACTCATCCAGCGACTTGTCAGTCTTTACCCTATGTGAGTTGGTGATTGATATTTCTGCAGATTGAAAAAAGTGAGAGATGTCATGGCTAAGGGTCGTTAACAATGATAAATGTCGATAATGAAAGGTGACTATGTGATGTAGGTGGGGTATAGATTGTTCGTCCTAAATGTTGTGAGTGTAACATACTTTGGGTGATGTTTGTTTTACCTTGATGCTATGGGTCGTTGAGTGGTATGTAAAAAAGTCTTCACACATGAGATGCTTTGTTTGCTCCCAGATTGAAGTGAGGTTAGACAAGTAATGGCATAAGAGCATGCCGACAAAAAATCTCCTGAGGTATTGACCTGTAGCTCAGAAGGCCTCCTCTTTTATTACATCAATGTACTCTTGATTGCCCTAAAGCAACCCTCGTGCGTAGTACACTGCCTTGAATGTTGGCTGGATGACGCTGTCTATTGTCCTAATGTCTTTGTAGCTGAAGGGGCCTCTCATCTTAGTTAGCAGAGCCAGGAGGCCTCACCTAGTGATGGCAATTCATGGGCTAATCTGCCGTTAGAGAAGCCTCTCTAGCGCAGCTTCCACTCCTTCTTTTGATTATTGAAAGTGTAATACTATGAAAACTTGGCATATGTTAACGCACAAGCAAAATGAACCTGTAGGTGGATATGATATCGAGTAAGAAGACTGAGGTAGGGACGTGGGCGCACACGCACAACTTGGAGACAGTGGGGGAAAAGCAGAGTAACACTGGAAGAGGAAGGAGTAATCTAGGGCTAGCTCATTGTTATGTCTACCAGGTAGGCCATTATTATGTTAACACTCCATCGAAGCCTACTAAAATGCGGATAACCCACTCGACCCATTTACAACTAGTCTACATTATGATATTTCATAAGTAAAGTAGATATCAAGTTATGGAAGTTAATATTAATGCTTTAAAATTTTCCATGTAGCATTCTAGTGGATAAAAATAAAATTTATTAATTTTATTACCATCAGTTTCATAATAATTTAATCAAAATTGAATAAATGAATCTCAAATTAGGGTCCTCACAAATTTAATGACCGGCTGTATTTAAAAATCATTGGTGACAAGTAAGGGTGTTCAACTTGTCCTGATTCAGTCGATTTGGGACTAGACAGGATGGGACAAAAAATTTTGAGACAGGACAACATAGTGACCTGATTTAAAATTCACTTATTAAATTATTAATATTAGTGTTTGTTCTTAATTTGAGTGATTTTTTTTATTGTCAAAGGCATGATTTTTTTGCTTATAATTTGGAATTTTTGTATAATACTTCTCTAATCCTATTTATAAGTCACTTTTAACATGATTTACATATATCAATAAAGGCTTTAAACTTTATTAACTCTCATTTAAAATTCAACAATTTTCTAATTTTATCCTTATTTAATATACAATATATTTCATGAGAACAAAATCAACACAATAATAAACAGAAGATAAAATTGTACATTCATATAAAAATTTTTTATCTATCCTATAAACTAGAGGAGTAGTTTTTTTAAAAATGCTTTATCTTTCAAAAGCCCAATTAAAAAAAAAGCAACATGAAGGAAAAAAGACCCAAAATTATTGCCCAAATTGCAGTTTGTGGGGGAGGGAGGGGTCGTGTCTTGTATGAAAATCCTATCTTGTCCCGTCCTATGAACACTTTTAGTGACAAGTGATCGGGGTTTACATGGACTTTTTTACACTACTACTGTTTATAAGAAAAATTAATATGTAAGTACTTATAATTACTCCTTATTTTTAATTAAGTTTCTCTGAATTCTTTATTTTTATTGGGTTTTGATAGTTTTCTTAATTATAAATATCTCTCTTTTTCAGAATTTATTGGATAAAGTTGCATCTAGTTATATAATCTTATTTCCTATGTGTATCTAGCAACTATTGATGGTGGATCCAATACAATGATTTTTTTTTTGTGCATACAAATCCCTTATCTTATTTACTAAGTACTACTCTTATTTTTAATATAAGAGCTAAATAACTAATTTGAGGAGATTAAAAAAATTATTTAATTATAACAAATGTGTATTGGCTTTCGTAAACTACTCTATTTAATAATGTGCATTGAAATGATCCCTTGATGGGAACCCTTTATAAGTTATAATCAATAAGATCTTTTAGAGAACACTTTATAAATTTTATAGATAAAGTGAATTGAGTTCTTATATTAAGACTAAATTTAATATCTAACTAACTCTTATATTAAAAATCTGAAATAATATAATGCATCCACCACCCTAAAGATTAGGATGTTGAATATAACTAAGAAAAACAACATCAAGGTTTTGAATTTATTAGGAAAATAAGATCCAAATACTTAATGTACCTGCGAAATAACATGATATTAGATAAATATTAACATAGTTCTCACTTAGTGAATGTGTGTGTATATACATTAATTTTATCTCATAAATCTAAGTAAAATCAAAATTAGCTAAACTACATATGAGTATCATAATTTATTTTTCAAAAAATTATTAGACCTAATTAAAAAAAGATTAATATAATTTTTGGTTTTAGCCTCTCAAGTTTTAAAATTTTGGTTTCTCAAGAGGTAAAATAATCTAAATTTTAATCTGATTATAGACATCAAAATTTTAAATAAAATAAAACTTTAAAAACTAAAATTATATTAACCCAAACAAAAACTGAGAACGGGGATAACGAAAAGCAGAACAAGAGCCGGCAGGAAGGAGGGAGGGAGCAGGAGGTGGGAAATTACGTGGGTGTTGTCGCAATATACAAATTTTCCTCAGGTTAAAACGGTAATTTCATTATCTTCCTGGTACGCTTCACCACCAATCACCCCCTTTCTGCACAAGCCGCCTCATAACTCAGTTTCCTTCTTCACACCCCTCCCTCACTCTCACACACACAGTCTCTCCCGCTCCCTCTCTCTCACCTAAAGGCTAAAGAGAGAAAGAGAAGGGGACAAAAGGGTTCAGCTTTTAGAGGGCCAAAGTGAGATCTTCTAAACACACACACACACACCAAAAGAAACATAACACTTCATGGCTTTCCCATATTTCTGATCCTCTCTCTCTTGTTCCTTCTCCTCCTCGTCTTCCTGCAATTTCATAGCTCTGGTTGTTCAAAACCCACCATTCTTTTGCTATAAGACTCCCACTTTGATTTCACAGCTCCCAACGACGTCGTGTTGTAGGTCGGAGAAGACATACCCACAGAGATGTTGGATTATGAATGGGGAAATCCGTCCACTATAATGCTCGCCGGAAACGACGAAGCCGCAGCTGCCGCAGCTGACGCGCATTCAGAGCAAACGCACCGGCAAATCTTCGACCACTATAATTCTCACCCTTTCTTGCCCGACCACCTTATTTCTCAAGCTCCACAGGGACCCACACCGACCACCACCTCTGATTTCTCCCTTGTACACCACCATCAACAATTCCATCCATCCCAACCCCATCACCATATCCACCACCAGCATTCTCTCTTCGACACACGCGCCTTCCCTGTCGCGTCGTCGTCGCATTTTCCTCCGCCAGAGCCACTGCCGCTGCCGCCGGCTCAGCCACCTCATTCCATGTTCTCCCTTGACCCGCTCCCTCCGGTCAACGCCGGCAACTGCGGGCCTGGTGGTGGGCTGCTGGTGGTGCCCAAGTCCGAAGATGTGGGTAGGTCCATGGACTTCTCGGCGTCTCGAATTGGACTCAACCTCGGCGGCCGAACGTACTTCTCCAGCACCGAGGACGACTTTGTTAGCCGGCTCTATCGCCGGCCCAGACCGTTGGAACCCGGCTCGACGATGTCGTTGAACAACAACTCGCCGAGATGTCAAGCCGAGGGATGCAATGCCGATCTCTCCCACGCCAAGCACTATCACCGCCGACATAAGGTGTGCGAGTTTCACTCCAAAGCTGCCACCGTCATCGCCGCCGGGTTGACCCAGCGATTCTGCCAGCAATGTAGCAGGTTGTTGCCGCGAGGGAATTGACGGAAATGCCCCTCGGTTCTCTCCCCTCCTCTCCTCTCACTGCCAATCATTTGTGTTGTTGTGCTTCTATCGTACAAGGGCTGATCCCGAGGGCATTTGCGTCCAGAGGAAAATTTCCTCCTCCTTGTTCTCCCTTTCGTCCTCCTAGCCCTTTTGCTTCTTATGGTAGCTTCACCACAATTAAACTCATTAAACTTAGCTTAATTATCAGAAGTAATAAACTTAGTTTAATAATTTATGACTTGACTGAAATTTTTAAATCTGAAGAAATCATTAATTACTGTGTTTCTTAAATAAAAGAAGAACCGCCACTGAAACTTTGAGTTTTCACCACCATGGATGGCTCTGAAGCTTCTCCTCTGTGGCACTCAATCATATGCAATGGGAAGCCCAAGAAGATGGGTGGAACCCTGATGTCAAAGACGGAAATACCCTGTGAGCCTAGCCAAGCAGTGATTGATATGGGAAGATCCCGAGGGCATTTCGGTCTCTCCGGTTTCTAAAAATCTTCTCTTCTTTCGGCTTACGTACACTGCATTGTTTTGCACTTTTTCTTCGTTGCTGGGATAATCTATAATTCATTATTATCTTTAAGAATCTCCACGTCTCATTCATTCATAGTGTAGATATGATCATAATTTGCTTTCTTACAGGTTCCATCTCCTTTCGGAGTTCGATAACGGAAAACGAAGTTGCAGGAAAAGATTGGCAGATCATAATCGTCGCAGAAGAAAAACTCAACCACCACCACCTCAAGATCAAACCCAGAAATCTCACCTCGAAAAGCATCGCAATTCTTCTTCTACTTTGAACATTGTAGCAAGTAAATTAAAGCCTCTCTTCCATCTCTTTTCTTTCTTGAAAATAAAATAAAATAAAATAAAATCTCTTATTACGACGACGTGAGTTAAATGATCATCATCGATCAGTTATATGCAACTATTTTGAACTGATGATCTCTGTGGCTTCGCAGAAGAGTCCCCGCCGGATTCTGGAATTCAGTCATCTTCATCGGTGACGGTGGCGGTGTCACCGCCGGATTATTTCCAGCAAAAACCGTATCAAAACACAACATCATCAAGGACACTGTTTTTCTCAAGTGGTTAGTGAATTGCATGAAATTAAAGAGAACAGGCCATGAATCTGCATGCATGGGCTAGCTACCAGATGGCTAGGAATCAAAATATTATTTTAAACCTTTACTTGTGATGACTTGCTTCCTAAATTTGATTCTGAAGTTATTAACTGGTGTTATATTAAGATTGACTTAAATCTTCCATATATATATATATATATGATTTCTTGTGCATTAATTTCTCTGGGGCTGCAAATAACTTGTTGGGTGTTAGCTGAAGCTAGCTCTAGCTAGCATGTATCTTTTTCTGGGATTTCACTTTGTGTAATTAAATTTGGATATTAATGATAAGGTAACTGTGGATAGATGGGAAAAATAGGTTGCTTTGTTTGGATTTTCCCGGAAATAGTGACTGTGAGGATTTCAGGGAGACAGTAACATCAGCGACCTAAGCATCTGAGGTTATATTTTCAAGTTGTGGGCTGTCTGGTCCCTGTTGAATTTTCCCTCGAAAAATGTAGTAGGATTCAAATAAGTAAAATATGTTTTGCAACATCAGACAGAAATTATTCCAATTAATCATAATGAAGCTCTCTCTCTTTCTCTGATGACTCTCTCTCTCTCTATATATATATATAGATGTATACTTCATTAGAGAAATCAGATCACATAATGTTAATTGCATTTCATTACATTTATTCAAAAGTAGATTAATATATGAATATATATATATATAAGTATATATAACCAGATCAATTATGTGAAACTCCATGAATTAATTCAATAAAATGATAAATAATAGCGGTTTTATATTATCAATTGACTTATTATCTCTAATAATTGTTTATTTCAATACTTGATCAATAATAAAAATAGTGAAAAATATGTCATAAAATTTGTGCATGATTATGGCAAATGTATCTAGCAATCAGTCTGTGATATTCTTTATTATAACAACGAAATCTAGGTAAGAAGTTCACTTCCTTTTATATACATAAGTTAATATTACTTCCTTATCTAGATTATCATATATATATATATATATATATATTACCTTCGATCTTAATTATAAGACCTCATTTACAGTCCATAAATGAAGTCTTGTAAATAGCACTAGAGGTAGTGTGTGTGTGTGTGTGTGTGTATATGATAAAAGCCATTTGGGTTTATAAGTAGAATAATTAGATTATCCGACGCTCTAGGCAAAAAGCAAAGGAAACGATTCTGATCTCTACTTCAATTTAGCTTGGAAGTTAATAACTTTGTGTTTGTGTAAATTTTATTGTTTTTATAACTTTCAAAACGATTAATATCAATATATGAATATTTATAAATAATAAGTCACAATATATATTTTTAAAATATTAGCAATATCGTGATTATTTTCCGAATTAATGTAAAAAAGGTTTTAAATCTAATAAATGAGAGCTCAAATGATGATGAATGGGCAATATTTTCCTCTTAATTAAGTAATTAATAGAAACTTGTTTTGTGGATGCTAAAGCTGTCTCCCCTGTGGAGACTAAGCTGTACCACTCAATTCAACCCTCAAGTTGTTGTTGTTGCTGTTATTATTAATAAAATCAAACGTATAAAAGATGGGACTTTCTTGCTATCTGTCATACGTAAATAGCCTAATGCTATTTTTTGTGTGTGCTTCTAATAACCTAATCTTATTTTTAGTATATCAAACATCCTAAGCCGTAAATAAGATCAAGGTGTTGTTGGCAAAAGAAAAAGATTAAGATTAAGACGTTAGATGTAAATAAAAAGTAATGTCAAATTAAAAGTGCTTAATGCAATAAGAAAATAACATTAGGATGTTTAATGCACCATAAATAAAATTAAGGCTGTAGATATAACTGAAAAATAATATCAAGGTATATTACTGGATGCTATTTTATATTAATATCTTCTAAATAGAGTGTTATCAACTAGACTTGATAATAAATAAATAATTTGACTTTTCAAAATTAGTTCTATCAGTACTTACGACACAAGGTGGGTAGAATGATATATATGATAGAGACCAATTAAGTGTGAACTAAAAGGATTTAAGTAAAAATTTAAATTAAGCTCAAGTTATTTATAAGATAACAGTTGGTGAATGGTGAATATGTATATAGTGTTTGCTTAACAGTAAAGTACTTGCTCCGTGGTTTATTATAAAAAATAACTATTAAAATCACGCGGTTCAAAATGTTAATTAAATTTAGTTAAAAATAATAAATATATTAAATATGTATATTCATTTATGCCCTCATCTATAAAAAGTGTACATAAGAGATAATAAGTAAAAATTTATTGTGAAGAATATATTTAGTAGGTGTAAAATTGGAAAGCCAAGTTTAAATTTTCAGACATAAATAATTTGTTTCTTATATTTTGGATATTACTATAGAAGATATTGTTTCTTATAAAAAAAAAAAAAAAAGACGGAAGGAGCACTATTTTATGTAAGCCACTTACGTACACAGCTTAGATGATGACTAAGCGCTTAATAAATATATATCTGGCTCAATCAACTAATATATTTTATAAATTTGACGCTCATTTCATTAAGTTGGTAAATGGTTAATAGTTTGCTTAACAATAAAGCATTACTTCATATATTAGTTGATAGCCTGATAGGGATGTGCAAATTATCTTAACATATAGGGTCAAAGTGTTGAAATACTCCATTTTACCCGAAAAATATAATTTTATACAATATATATGTAATATGTATATGATATTTTGGTTGTTGTAAATAAATACTACAAAGGTTCTTAATATAAAACACAATTAACTAATTTGGAAGGATTAAAAATTTACTAAATTACTTAATTATAACACATGATCTCTTTAAAATACTTATGTGTATCATTACAGATTAGTTTGAAAAAAATGATAAATATAAATACTTTAAATTAATTTATTCACTTCCTTAATCTTTTTAAATTAATCAACTAGATTTTATATTAAGGATAGAAGCTATATAATATTTTATTGACAGTTAAACTATTGTAATAAATTGCATGAAAAGAAATCTTACATTACTAGTATTATGTGTAGTTTATTGGGGGATCATTTTTTTGTTTAAGAATATAAAATTTTTATGGGGAAATATTTTTGGTCTTTCAAAATTTAATTCATTTTTCAATTTTACTCCCATATTTGTAAATTTTGTAATTAAATAATTCTCATGGATTCTTGAATGATATTTAACTGAGCCCTTGTTAATATATTTTTAATCAATATTTTATATATACATAAGTTAATATTACCTCCTTATCTACATTATCATCATATTTATTTGTCATAAATCTTTTGTATTTGCAGTATTAAGCTAATAGTAATATATATCGATTATGTCAACAGAGTTTAATAAGTAGAGATAAAATTTATGGGAAAATAATAAATTGAAATTTCTCTAAATTTAGGATATTCAATTACAAGATTCTAAACTATCCATAAAATATTTCTTTTACGAATCCAATCTTTTTCATGGTAAATCCATTTTTTCCTGTCACTTACTTTCCATGTAATGGTTTTCTTAGATCTAAATATAGGCTACTTATCTATTTTTATTAAATTTAAAATAAAAAAGTATAATGTATAATTTTTATAGAAAATTCAATCATATAATGTAATAAATTTGAAATAAAAATTATATTTTTTTCTAGGCATAAGTATCCTCTAATTGGAGAGAAATTCTGTTTGAGGTGTTGCTGGGATTTAATATAAATTAAATATTAAAAAAAATTATGAGATTCCCTTCTTTGACTTTAACCTATTTTATTGGCGGATGATATTCATGATATTGTTTTTCAAAAATACTATCACTGATCTTTAATATAAGAATTAAGTAACTAATTTGATTATATTAAAAAAATTAGTTAAGTTAAGTATTTATATAAATATGTATTAGTTTTTCTAAACTATCCTCTTGAATCATGTGCATTAGATGAATAAAATTATTTCTTAGTAGGAGTCCTTTGCTATTAATAGGAACATTTTTTTGGGTGAAAATAAGAGACAACATGAATTGAGGTCTTAAATAGTCTTATATTTACAACAAATTTAACCCCGAACTAATTCTGTTATTAAGGACAAGAGATAGTAATATATACACACCCATACACATACACTCCCTCTTATCATATACATATATGTGTGTGCGTGTAACATTTTCTCACACAGAATTGGTCCGATATATAAGTAACATTTTGTGTTTGTCTAAAATTTAATACATTTTTTATTTTTAATTCTAATTAATTACACGTGTGAAACAAATAACACGACTTTCTAATATATGTTTTCCTATTTATTCTCTCTCACACTCATCATCTTCGCAGCCGAAAGTATATTTTCGAAAAAATGACATCTTTTACCCATTTATTATTTTTAATTAATTTTAATCAATATTTTTATTTACGTGAGTTGCTTGTTTTTTTTTTTTTTTACCAGCTACATGAGTTGAATAGTTGTTGCTTATATATAAAATGGGAGTGTATACTTATTGGCGTGTGTTTATTTATAAATACACACTCAGCATGTGCTTGCATTATATACACAGGACGAAAATGGACATGTATTTTTGTTTTGAAATGCTTTTTTGTGAGAATTATGATATCGAAAAGCATCGTTGCATTGCATTGAAGCTTCCTGGAAAGTGATATGGCGGGCCATCGTTTGGTATGTCCATCACTTATATGATTGTCTGTTTCTATATGCTTTAACCATAACTCATCATGATGATGTAGTTCGTTCCCAACTAGATATCTTTTGTTTTTGGGAAAATTAATCCATATGTTTCAAATTGAAAAAAAAAAAAAAGGATACAGAGAATTCCCAAAAAAATTCATATTCATGTCAAATTTGAATATTATTTATATATTAAATCTAGCAATTTATGTTTATAAATCAAACTTTTATATTTACAAATTGATTTATGTTGTTTATAAATTAAAATTTTAAAGTTTATAAAAATTTCGATTTCTTTTTGGTAAACTCTCAGTATTTCAAATTTTCATTTGGGAGTCCTAGATAAGTTTTTTTTTATTTTTTTTATTTTCGTATACATAACTAATAATTCAAATTTTTGAAAATCAAAATATATTTCTGAGAACATTACCAGAAATTTTAAAAATATTTGAAAAATGAAAAAAGGGTTATATATAGTCCATAAAATATACTAAAAATAAAACATATTTTACTAAATGATAAATACTAAAAATATCATATTGGTTATTATTTAATATTCATAATAGACGAATCAAGAAAAAGATCTTGATTTTTCTCAAGTAAAAGAGTGGTTTAAGTCTCATACATACAATTATATTGAAAGAGATATATTTAATTGAGTCCAAATATTCTCAAATATGATGTGATAGTATCCATTATTAAATAATTGAATTATACTACCTCCGGTCCTAATTATAAAAGCTAGTTGGCTAATTTGAGGAGATTAAGAAAACAAGTAAATTTAATTATTTGTAATACATAGGTGTTGTTTTTTATAAAATATCCTTACTAATCAAGTGTAGTGGTTATAACTACCATTATTTGAAGGACTTTCTTGGAAAAAATACATAAATATGAAGGATAAAGTGGATTG